CTCCCTCTTCTCCCCTCCACTCCCCCCTCAAGTGTCGAGGTGCCTCCCCTCCCCTCTCTCCCTCTTCTCCCCTCCACTCCCCTCCACTCCCCTCCACTCCCCTCCACTCCCCCCTCAAGTGTCGAGGTGCCTCCTGCCGTCCAAGTACAGCATAGACTCAGCGTACGTCTTGGGCAGCACGCGGGGGACGTCTGTGAAGCCCATGTCGAACGTGAACCGGAAGTTGTTGGTGGTGTGCCTGCTTCCAGAATCCCCCGGCCTGACCACCTCGGCGTGGACGTACATCTGCACGCTGGACTCTCGCGTGAACACCACCTGGGAGGAGAGGAAGAGGAAGTCCCCGATTTCCACGGGTTTTAGAAACACGATGTCGTCCACCCGCGTGCACATAGGCGGGCAGGTTTTGGCAAAGAAGTACACGTTGGTCCAGGCCAGCTCGTACGCTTTGCGCATGAGGAACCCCCCGAAGATTTTGTTGTAAAGATTTCTTTTCTCCGGATGGCAGACGGTGAGAGATTTGAGTTTCGTTTCGTCCATCCATATCGTATTCTCGGGCCGGATTCTCGTTTTGAAGCTGCCAGACGAGAGGTCGATGGTGGAGAGAAATATGTCGTGTAGGATCAGCCGCTCGTCCTCTGTGGGCGGGTTCTTCAGGAGGGAGGTCTGGGAAGCCAGTTGTCTCGACCTCTTTTTTAGCTCCCCTTTCTCAAACATCTGGCGTTCTTCCGGCGTTTGTGGGTCGAGCGGATTGACCACCGCGGCCTCGTCCGTCTTGGGGGTCCGGGCGACGAAGAGGTAGGTGGCGGTGATGAGCCGCTGGAGCTCCCCGCCGTGCTCCTGGTCCATGTGCATCGTGCACTCCATGGAGGAGCGGCCCACCCACGTGACCTGGCCACTCATCAGGATGTCTTTGTAGGGGGACGGGGCGGGCCCGGCGGGGGACAACACGATCCGGTCCACCATGGCCGTCACGAAGGCGAACGGCGACTTCTGGTGGGGCCCCAGCTCCGGTTTCATGTTGTGTTTGTAACAGATGAGGCCGGCGAATGTGTCGAAGTTCTCCAGCAGCCTTCCGAAGCGGAGACCTCTGTTGAAGAAGAGATAGAACTCTCTACTGGAAGGGTCGCGGCCTAGCGGGATGACGGCGCGAGAGAAGCTGTCCCGGGGTCTACGTTTGGGCAGTTCGTCCTGGCTCCGAGCTATGTGCTGTAGGAGAGACGACGTGTCTCTGACAGACGGCTTGTCCTCCTCCCCCGACGCCCACTCTCTGCGCCAGCCCACCATGTTCATCAGGTGTTCGCGCACCTCGAAGATGGTCATCAAGTGGTGGCCGTCGTCGTCGTTGTTGTTCTCTTCCCTCCTGTCCTTCTCCCTGGTTCCGGTGCCAGAGGTCATGCCGCGGGCTGGTCTGACCACTGTGAATCGGTGACCGAGAAAAGGAATCCTTCTCACGTGGGGCCGTATCACGCAGGACGCCATCTGGACATGACCAGAAAATGTTGGACGACGGATTACAGCAGGTACAAGGGTTTTGTACTTTTAGGTTTAACTTAAAGAAGGTTTTTACGGCGCTCGCAACTACAACTGCACAAGTCCATATGAGTATGAGCGCTAAGGGGTTGGTGTCTACAGAAAGATGTGATAAGCAGCATTTGATTGGGCAATTCCCCCCCCCACCCCCCAAAAAAAACCAACCAAACAAAAAACTCAACAAAAAATAAAAACCCCACAAAACAAAACAGCCACACACACACATATTATGACCACACTTTTCTTTAGCCCCAGACCACACTTCTCCTTCTCTCTGTCTTCCTAAAGAAACTGTACCTTCTAAAAACCAACAGATGGGTGGCTGGCAGTTGCTCTGGTATGCTTTAGTCCTTCCTTCCTACCCATTGGCCATATCTCTCCTTCGGTTCTTTGTATGTTACTCTCTGGTAACACCTCTAATCGAGGGCACTTATATCACCTATTTATGTTGGAAGTCAACAGAGAAAAGACTCACATTCGGTACCGAGGCCAGAATAGTTCTCACGAATACAGAATGAAAATGGCGCTGATAAAAGAAGAGAAAGGGCATAGTTTATGTATGCAATTATCTTTATGTATATATATATATATACTAGACAAAACAAACAAAAGGTATCAGAGTCCACAATGACCTGGACATAGCAGCAAAGATGCAGGTTGGGCGAATATGAATAAAGTCCCCATATCATTATTTTTCTTTTTATCTTTAAGTGAATACACGACGACACATATTTATATTACTAGCTGGGCCCCCTTTCGATGAAAAGAATGATCGGTGCATTAACTTCAACTGAACGTCATTGGCCTACTATATTTTTACGCTCTACTGGAAAGGAGCAATAAAATAAATCTAGAGAGATCTAAAAAAATCAGGTTTAGATCGATACTCTCAAAACAAAAATAAAATGCTTTACTTTTATTTGAATCCGCCGCTTATACCCTTTTGGGTGTCGCGGGAAGAAAAAGACGTCTCTCTGCCACCAGCCGATAGTACACTCCAGAATTTCAAAGGTATGGAATCAGGCGCAAGGCTAGTGAACGAAAACCACACTTGTTTACAATGGCGATTTGGAAGACGGAATTTCCCAAGAACAGATCTAAACGAAACTAATGAGAAACTGAAAATTAAACTACAGTGACTTCAGGCTCCTTAATAAAACTGTGCACCCTTTAAATGATTCTGAACCGCCATAAATTTTGTCAAAATCGAAAGTTGAGTGGTTCGGAAGTTTTAGGTGGCCAAAGTGGGGACTTTTACAAATATAATATACTAGCTGGGTGGCGCCCCTTTCGTTGAAAGGAATGGTCGATGCATTAACATCAACTGAAAGTCATTGGCCTACTATTACACTCTACTGGAATGGAGCAATAAATCCTGAGAGATGCAAAAACTTAGAAGGTTTAGATCTAGTGATGTACAGATTGATTCTCTCCGCTTTCGTGGTTGTATTACTCCAGAATTTTAAAGGTGTGGAAACAATGCACACGGCTATTAAACGGAAACCTCGCTTGTTTACAATGGCCTCTTGATGAAAATCTGAAAATCAAACTACAATCTAGCATCTACGTTCGTTGCCAATTTTTTTTTGTCCAAAAGTTGTCACAAAAAGTGGCAAAAGTTGCCAAAAAATTGCCATTAAAGTTCAAGCTTTCAACTCTCTGGGACGACGTATATATAGCAATAAGTTTGTACTTCTGAAGCAGCGAAATAACAGTGCTGGAGAGAAATGTCATTGATAACAATTACTTCAGGCTCCTCAATACAATGTAGAACTGTGCACCCTTTTAACGATTCTGAACCACCTTTAAAAATGTCAAATTCGAAAGTTTAGTGATTCCGAAGTTTTAGGCGGCCAAAGTGACGAACTTTCTCACAAATATAATCTCGTACATGTATGTATAGATAGAGATTATTGTCTGTGACACTCGCAATGGTCTGCTACTGCATTGTCGTGTTTTACTCGGAGCTCGTTTTGTTTTTGTTTGTTCTATGTTGTTGTTCTGCTTTGTTTTTGTTTTGTTTGGGGTTTGTTTTGTATGTTTTGTTTATGCGAGGAGGGGGGTATTTTGTTGTTGTTTGTTTGGGGATTGTTTGTTTTGTTTTTTCGGGAGGGGGCGGTAATTTTTTATTTTTAAGATTTTAAAAAAAGATCAAAGTTGTAAATATAAGATGTGAGGCTTGCTGAAAAAATGAGTTTCTTCTCGCAATCCTTGAAT